CGGTACTCTGAAAACACCTCTTTAAACTAGCTTATCCATCTTAACTTCGTTTTATATTTCAATTTATTCCTGTTGGTCTTTGCACTGTTTGTTTTTACACAATCTTATCTGATAGGTTTCTTGCTGTAAAATGTCCTAAGGTGTCCTGAAAGGCACTTTTAAAATAAAATTATTTTTATTATTATTACTTAAAGCCAGTGGTTGAAATAAAGGAAATATTCAAGTGGGTAGGAGTTACACTGTGAAGAACAGAAGTTTTTTATTTTTTATTTATGCTTGTCCAAAGCAACACAGAGTGATGGATCCTGACGCAGTGGAGGAGCCAGGGGGTGGCCAGCGGTGGCCTTGGTCACTGTAGCTTAATCTTCGGACACCCCAATCATTTTAGGAAACCACACTTTTATTAAGAAATATAAAAAACTAGAACGCATAGTTTCCTCAAATGATAGAGGTGACCGGTTTACATTTATTTATGGTGGTGGCCATCTTGGATTTTGATGTGGCAACCTAATCTTTGATAGGGACTTTTCTTGTGTCGAGATGCAGCCACACGCCAAAGTGGAAAGCTTATTTTCAAGTTATCTAGTTAAGGCGGACAAACAGACGAACAGAAGGTATTTCCAAGTGACGATACAATGAAGCACGCCGTGATTCGTTGGAGCGGGTTCTGGTGAGAGCTCCAGAGCAACCCCACACTGCAGCCGTGAACTCAAGATCCTCGCCTCACCTTTAATGGTGGACGAGGAGGAGAGATCACCTCCCCTCCAAAGCCAAGTTTGCTGCCATGCCAGCCTTTTGTTTTCCTTCTTTAAATATTTGAGGTTTTTATTCAAATTTCTTGTGTTCGGGTCCGATTCTCTACAAACCAAGACGGCGAAACGGTGGAAGTGTAGCGGTTTTAGTTAAACTTGCATTATTATATTGATGAGTCTGGTGATTTAGACCCCAGTGTGTAGTCTAGTAGCCGAGTCCCTCGCTTTCTGCTTTTGAATTCAAGGGAAAACAGCCGAGAGTGAGAGGTCAGAAGTGGGAACGAGGTGGATGAAGCTGGAAGCAGATGGTGATCAAAGCAAACATCTGAGCAGCTGCAGGAGGCAGACCGTCTTCTGTTCGTCTGTTTTGTCATAAAACGCCACCACAGCTCCAAACACTGAGCGCTCAGTCAGGAAGACACCAGCACTTGAGGCGGGAGGGATGATAAGTCTCTAAATGTGTCTAAATAAGACAAATCCTGCAGGAAGACAGGCTCGTTTAACTTTAAGATACGTGTGTGGGGGTGTCTGCCACTCTGTTCACCTCACTGTGAGTTACTACAGAAAAGATTTAATGGAGATTTCTGTTTCAAGACCATTTTATGAAGAGGAAACACTAGAAAGACATTAATGCAAAAAAGCACTAGCATCCATTTAAAAACAAATAACAGCTAAAACTCTTCGTAAAGGATGAAGCACGTGTTCCAGCGGATAAGACAATGCATTCTGGGAATGCACCAGAATTAAGTTTCACAGCAATAAATGTCTCCAAAAGCAATTAAATCTGAAGCGTCTGCGTTTCAATACAGGTCTCCGTTACCTGTGAGGTGAACCAGTTCAAAGGCAGAATACGAGTTTTATAAACGTATAAATAAACAAATAAGAAATAAGTTGACGTTTCAAACTATCTCATGGCAAAATGTGGACCGGCGTCGCTGTTCTCTGAAACCTGTCTGACTTCCAAGGAGCGCAAACCCCTGGAGGTGCCGTTAACCTGGTTTTTCAGCTTTGACTGATTTTTTTTATATTTTGTTGTTGCATGCAGAGGACACTTGAAGACAAAATAGAACCAGAACACTGACAACCACCACTGAGAGACAATCAGATTGGCATGTGATGATCAGGAGTCAGTAAAAGTGGTTTAGGCTCCCTTCACACTGGATGACAACATCTCTTATAGCTACGCTTTGTCTTTTTCCAGGCAGCTGCATTTCTAACATCCTTCTACCAATATACCCACCTGGACTATGGTCCAGGTTCTGAAGGGGGTGGAGCTAGGTGTGCAAGGTGTGTGTGGTACTGAGCGTGATGAGACCAAGTGAGCATGAGAGGTAAATCAGCTGGTTTCCGTGTGTCCAGTGTGAGTTGTGGCTGTGACGGCAGCTCGGTTGTCTGTTTTTTGGGGGTGGTTTGTTAATAAAAGCTCTAAAGCGTGCACAGAAGGACCTGAGTCTCTGCGCAGGAGTCTGAACTTTATCCCCAGAAAAGATTCATATTTATTTTTTATGTTTTTATTAGGGTAGCACAGTGACACAACTGGTAGAGCTGCTGCCTCTCAGCGCGCAGGTCGCTGGTTCAAACCCCGGTCCAGGGGCCTTTCTGGGTGGAGTTTGCATGTTCTCTCCGTGCATGCGTGGGTTTTCTCCGGGTACTCCAGTTTCCTCCCACAGACCAAAAACATGCATGTTAGGCTGATTGGTAACTCTAAATTGTCTCTAGGTGTCAGTGAGAGAGTGAATGGTTGTTTGTCTCGTTTGTCTCTATGTGTCCCTGTGATGGACTTGGACCTGTCCAGGGTGTACCCCGCCCCTCGCAAAGTGATTGCTGGACATGGGCACCGGCGACCCCCATGACCCAAAATGGAAGAAGCGGGTAAAAGATAATGGATGGATGGATGGATGGATGGATGGATGGATGGATGGATGGGAAGTAGAAATACCCTCCGCCCGTCCATGCATGTTGTGGGCTCGTTAACTTAAAAATAATCGAGGTACTGACTTCCATGTAGGTGTATGGCTACATCTAAGCGTAATTAATATTCCTTTCAAAAACTGGGTTATCAAGTCAAAATCCAAGATGGCTGCCACCATAAATGTATATATGTAGACCACACACAAATGTATGTGTGTGTGTGTAAACTGGCCATTTGAGGAAACTATGCTTTCTAGTTTTCATATTCCTTAAAAGTATAGTTTCCTCAAACGATTGGAGTGGCCAAAGATTAATCTGTGGTGGTCACGGCCACCACTGGCCACCCCCCAGCTCCGCCTTTACGCTTGGTGGTGGATAAAACTGCTCCCGCTACGCGCCAGGATTTGTTACTCCGTGCTGCTGTTAAGCTGAAACTGTTTTATCATCCCAAACGCTTTCTCCAAGCACTAAAAGATCATGCACAATCTTGGCTAAAAACTTTAACATCAAATGCGTTAGTAGTACACCCTGTCTGTTAGCGAAATACCTCCTGAACCACTGGACGGATTTAAAGGAAACTCTCAGAAAGTAATTAATGGATGGACCTTAGCAAACCCATTCATGTCAACTTTCAGCTACCAACCTGTTTTCCTGTGTCTGCAGACTCTTCCAAGGAACCGAATAATGAATACTCACACAGCTAAAGTACATTAACTTTATCACTATAATGCCCGACTGCATGCCATTAATCAAAAACCAGTGGTGTATTTTGAAGCAGCAGGTTAGAAACACTCTCCCACGTAAATAAATGACTTTAAATCTAAAGCTGTTTGACTCTGTTCTTTGAGGAATTAAATATTTATTGCCCCGAAACAGAACAAAGTCTATATTAAATTATACATCTGTTATCTAAGAGGATGTTACTTTGTCAAAACCATGTACCGTTACAGCCACAACCAATGTCACAACAATAAATCCAGTCTAACAAATAAAAAAGACACAAACAACATGATTTGTTGACGACATCTTGCACCAGAATCTTCCGACAGTAAACAGGAGACGTTTCCTGGCTCGACAGATGCTCCACAGATGTTGTGTTTACCTCATGGTTCAACAGCGAGGGCTGCACCTTGCATGACTCACGTTACGGGCCGCCTTAGAAGTGCATGAAAAATAGCCGAGCCTAACTTACACAGAGGGCACGCAAATGGCAACGGAAAACATCCCAGTCTGACAGAATTGGGACGACACCGAACAGAGGTGTTGCTGTTTGCTACAGTTTATTTAGATGTGAATAGACCTGTTAGCTTGTGCTAAAACAGGCTCAAAGACAGGCAGTCAGGATGCTCAAAGGTTAATTGATGCGAAAACCATCCTATGGGGTTCAATTTTGTGAAAAAGCTCCACAAATAAAAGGTGTTAATGCATTTCCATGTTGTGTATGGAACTGCAGAACTGTGGGAGAATGTGTACCGATTTATCTTCCATTGAAAGTCTGTACAAAAGGTATTCACACTGAATTAAGACTATACTAGGCTATTTACAACCCATTTAGATTGCAACAAATATGAAAGATTTCCAACAGTGTTGAAGGGAATCATGATGCCACTACACTTTACTCACAAGTTGGGCTTTCCAGTCATTGTTCACATTACCGAGACATTCTTCTGCATCCTCACTTCACTCTAAGTGCAACAAGATGCAGTTATGACTATCACATCTGGTTGTTTCCATGACATAGTCACAAACACAATCTAAGCCAAGGCGTGAGACCAGCATGGCTTTCACATGCCAAAATTAAAGCCATACCGGTGTATGGGGGTCCCACGTCGTGGATAGAATGGTACCATTGCCATTACCTCAGACCTTATGAACTATGTGAACTAATCCCATTCTATGATTTGTAAAGGGGAGCCCAATGCCTTGCTAACATGTGACTGAAGATTGTGCCAAGACCCTGCAAAGACCATCCATGTTCTGACTGTGAAGTGGGCCTTGGGGTCAAAATGAATCAATGCCATTAGGGAGGGTAGACAAGTCTGACGATCACAGCCTGAATGGGAAAGACAATGGGACGATGGTGTTCTACTGACCTATTGACATTCAGGTGGATATTTCCTTGACACCTAAATATTGTACAAGAACACAACCACTGCTTTATGGCAAAGCAGTTTCCTGATGTCAAGGTCTTTTTGAGCAGGATAGTAAACTTTTCCATACTTATAATAGTTCAGGATTCATTTATGTCAAAGAGTTGCACTCAGTATATATGAAGTGTCCCATGACTGATATTCAATCTTCCAGAATTTCATCAGTTGTCTTCAAATACTGTCTTACCTGATGATGTGCGTGAGGTTGCACCAGTACTGTGAATCTATGTGAGCCATGTCCCGTTTGAAGTTTTCTCCACAGACCTCCACCTCCCACTGTAGACGGGACTCGTTGCAGATCCTCCTTTGCGAAGGGAACGTGGGCTCCAAATTGATGCCGTCGGTGGCTGTCAGAAAGAAAAGGATGAAGCATTTGATATGCATTCTGCTGTGTCTGACTTGAAAAATAACAGATATGACAAAAATGGAAGTTCATTAGTGTTTGATTTGTAGTATTACAGTAATTAAAGATTTTCATTAGAAATTAATTTAAAGTATGCTTGAAGCTAGAAATCACATCTCATGTTTCAAATACACCTGTCTGTGTACCTGTCCATCTGCAATCACCCAGCTGCTTTCACTCTGTAATCACCCTCCCTATTTACTTACTCTCTTGGTTTCCTTCTGTCCACTGCCTAAATCATACCGTTGTATTCAGGTGCCTGCGCTTGGTTTATGTTCAGTGCCGGTAATTTTGGTCACCTGCTTGATTGGTGTTTTAGTTGTTTAATTCAAGAATTTACTATTTAATGATAGTTTATGGATATTGGTCATGTTTTGGGAATCTAAACATCTGGATGGATGGATGGATGGATGGATGGATGGATGGATGGATAAAATAATGGACATACTGATGGATGGATGGATGGATGGATGGATGGACAGATGGATGGACAGATGAACGGATGGATAGACAAACAAAAGAATGGGCAGACAGATGAACGAACAGATGGATGGATGTATGGATGCACAGACGAACAAATGGACGGATGGACAGACGGACGGAAGTATGGATGTATGAGCAGATGGAAGTATAAAATAATGGACATACGGATGGATGGATGAATAGACAAACAAAAGAATGGGCAGAAAGATGAACTAACAGACGGATGGATAGATGGATGGATGGATGGACAGATGGAAGTATGGATGGATGGACAGATGGAAGTATGGATGGATGAGCAGATGGAAGTATAAAGTAATGGACATACTGATGGACGGACAGATGGACGGATGGATGAATGGACAGACGGACGGATGGATAGACAAACAAAAGAATGGGCAGAAAGATGAACAAACAGATGGATGGAAGTACTCACCTGACGACTTGCCCATCATCCAGGCATTAACTGTAAAGAAATTCCATGAAACCCGTTAGAATAAACTGACTTCTGATTGATAAAACACTGTGATGCTAACAGCTAACAATTCTGTGATGCTAACAGCTAACAATTCTGTGATGCTAACAGCTAACAGTCATGTGATGCTAACAGCTAACAGTC